TGATTTTTAAAAAGGCACTTTGATTTGTTTTAATGAAATAGTTTGTCGAGTAAGCTTTGTTAAATACCCTTTGGCAAAATCTCGTCTACATTTTTTTGGCATTGGTCACTTTGACATTTAGTAGAATGTGGTTGTCCTGCTGTACCTTATTATTTATTTTAAATAGCTTACAACAGAATGACAAAACATCATCATGGCGAACAAGTGAACATCCAAAAGCAGAGCATTTTATGGCATTTTGACCCTCAGTATAGATTTTGTCTTTGGTCGCTTTATTACTTCATCGACATCGACATGTAAACATGTTTATGTTTACATGTCGATGTTACATCAATCAAATTCTCATTCACATTTACTTGGTGCCTACAAAAAAATATATATTAATAATGTACTATAAAATAAAATTTAATGAAAACATTTTTATAACTAGATTAAGGTGAGGTTAAGAGTGGTGATGGTTTAATTAGAGTAAGTTACTACTGTTCGCTAAGGGTTAGGTTAAGGTTTGGTTAGGGTTACATCAGGATTTGCTTGTCATGTTTGTCACGTTATCCCTGAGCAGTTTACAGTGAAGTTTCAGATGCAATTATTTTAGAGGGGACCAAGGAGGTGGAGAGGGAAGAACTTTTCAAACAATTTAGTCATAGCTCTCTGCTGCATTGCATTTCTCGGCTCTAAAAACTGCAAAGGCTCGAACTCTGCGTCTTTATACTGTGAAATTCATAGTAATGTAAATTATTTAGATTAGATTTGCGGCCATGACAAGATATAACCACCTTGCACATTGGGGTGATTAGTGTAAGCAAGATTAGTGTAAGATACTATTCAGTTTATATCATAACAAAAGTTGCATACCTTCTCAATTTTGCTTTTAACCAATTTTCACCAGTACCTTTCCGTTTTCTGGACCCCTGATTCGCCGAAATTACTTTTACACCTGTCTGATTATGCACGTCTGACCTATTTAAAGACATTTAAATAGGTCAGGTCAAAAAGATATTTAAAGATCATGTAGTAAAAAAAAAAAAATCAGATTTCTACAATAAGTTAAATAAGCCTCTCTGAATCTGAAAAGTTTTTGTTGTTGTAATTTTTAATGCAGCAAATAAGAAAAGGTGTAAAAAAGTATGCACTAATGACAGTGTTATGAAAAAAAACACTGACCTTAATTGTTTAAAAATATTTTCGTTAGAAGAATTGGTTGACAATCTTAGTTCGATAGTTTGAGAAAGGCTTTTTAGTATACTAGGATGGTTAGAGTCAGCATTTATATTACTGATGGAATTGCAGTAAGGTTGGAAAGAACTGTCATTAAGATTTAATGTTAAGCCCAGATAATTAACAACTTTGAAATTACAGCTGATTGATATATGAAGATTATTATTTTTAAAAATTTTCACAAAGTGCTTTTTAATTTTTTCCATCTGTTGACCGCTCCGGTTCTTAAACACTACTAGACCATCATCTCTATACAACCCTTTATACAATCTTTATTGTAAGACTGCGATAATTGAAACAAGATAAATATTCCAACTAACTCACAAACTTCTGCGCCATCAAAGGATCCCATGGTTACATCAAATAAACCTCCACTTTTTTTAATCCAGGCTTTACCATTGTTGAATAATAATGATTTTCTGGCATAATGTATTAACCTTTTTTCATCTTGTTTTATAATTAAGTATTTTTCAGCAAAGGTTATAGCGTTGTTTAGTAAATTTTCATTAATTGAAGGATAAAAAACAGTTATATCGAAAATTAAGAACTTGTATAGATGTTTTTCTTTAATATTTTGAAACCAATCTATAATGTTCTGTGAGTTTAGCCATTGATTGATGCAAACTTTTTTTCTAAGATCACTGTTTATTTTTGATAGAATAACTTTAAAAATTCTTCCTACTTCGTTTTTTTGCAGGATTTAATAGGTGAACTGTAGGGTTGTTTAAAAAATATCCTTGTGGTCTTTTAGAGTGATAAAACAATTAGAGGCCATTTAATTCACTTCTGTTGAAAACATCATGATTAGTCAAAAGGTGCTAACCTTCAATATTTATTCGATCCTTCAGATTTTGGTCAGCCTTTTTATATGTAGATGTAACGGCGTTCCTAAGGAGGTGGTTATACTCTTCTTTGGAAATTCTGTACATATTGAAAGTTTTGTCAGCTCGAGTTAAAGTTTTATTTGATTTGCGCAAAGATTTTATATCGCTGGAAAGCTTTTCTTGAAACTTGTTGTTGACTTTACGAAATTTTATATATTAAACTAAATTAATTAAATCATTTTTAAACATAGCCATTTCTATGCGGTAAACAGATGGAAAAAATCAAAAAGCGCTTTGTGAAAATTTAAAAAAATGATAATCTTTATATATCCATCAGCTGTAATTTCAAATTTGTTAATTATCTGGGCTTAACTTTAAATCTTAATGACAGTTCTTTCCAATTTTACTGCAATTCCTTCTGTTATATAAATGCTTACTCTATCCATTCTCTAAGTATAAAAAGTACTAAAAAGCCTTTCTCAAACTATCGAAATAAGATTGTCAACCAATTCTTTTAACGAAAATATTTTTAATAAAACAATCCATTCCTCTTTATCAAAATGCATTATCTAAATCAGGTTTTATCTGCAAATTCGCTTACCATTCAAATAAAAAGCCAATCCAATTCAAAAATCACAAGCGAAATACAATCTGGTACTACCCACCTTTCAGTACCAATGTTGCAACAAAAATAGGCAGTTATTTTTTGAACATGGTAGACCTATATTTTCCGGTTGGTGACAAACTTCGTAAGTTAGTTAATCAAAATACCATTAAAATAAGCTACTCATGTATGCCAAATATCAAGTCGATCATTAATTCGCACAACTACAGGATAAAGAGGGAAAAACATGCAACTGTGTCAACAAATCCATCTGTCCCATGAATAATCAGTGCTTGACAAAAAACATCGTTTATCAAGCCACTGTGTCGTCAAATAAACCTAACTACAAAGAAAAAGTACATTTTGGCTTATGTGAAACTCCATTCAAATCTCGATATGCGAATCACCTAAAATCTTTTAGCATTAATAAATAAAAAATGATACCGAGTTGTCTAAAGAAATTAGGGACATAAAAGACAAAATGTTTACACCCTTAATAAAGTGGAAAATTGTAAAACGTTGCAATACTTATAACGCCTTGTCGAAAATTTGCAATCTTTACTTATTCAAAAAATTCCTCATTTTAACATATAAAGATGTTAAATAAACGAAATGTGTTGATTTCAAAATGCAGACACAAGAATAAATTCCTTTTATCTTTTTTTGACACCGGTGATATGTATACATATTATACATATATATAAATATATATATATACATATATTTATATATATATATATATATATATATATATATATATATATATATATATATATATATATATATATATATAAATATATGTATATATATATATATATATATATATATATATATATATATATATATATATATATATATATATATATATATATATATATATATGTGTGTGTGTGTGTGTGTGGGGGTAATTTTTAGAAAGAAGCTGGTAGTCCTAAATTCGCTCCTGCATCTACATTTGTAAAATAGGTGAAACAAAGATTTTTTTTAAATAGAATTATGATTATATATGAAACGGGGCTTGGCGATAAGACAGTTTATGTCTTCTTCTTGCTCCGGCCAATTTTTATACATGAATGGTTTTTTCTCATTGTAAATTTAATTATACGGCAAAGAAAATATAATAATAATAATTCAAATTATTTTTCTAAGTTATATAAAAGTTAACTAGATAATTTATCAACCAATGAAGTTTTGAAAGTTACGGATTAGCCACACCAGTTAAACCCTATCATTGCAAATTGGTCAAGACCAATATTTCTCAACTGTTTCCCACTATCCCATTTTATTCAAATTCATTTTCCAACAATACTTTTTATTATAACAGTTTCAATTTTCAAATAAAGTTTACTGCATGTTGCATAATGTATGGTGCATAATGAATTATTTATGGTGAACCGTATTTGTTAAACTGTAGTGAATAATTATTTTACTTTCATTTTTGTTTATTTATTTACTGAAAATCTATATTCCTTATTAAATAGGGTGAAATTAAAGTCTGTATCCCAAATCAACCAACGATATATTTGCATCCAATTTGTAGACATTAAACAAATATAGTGAATAAAACTAAAAATTGTAATAAGCAGCCGTGGTGCAGTGGTTAGAGTTCTGGCTCAGAACCCAGAAGTCCGGGGTTCGACGCCAGCTCCAGCCCAACAAGCTACATTGGTACGGAAGGAGGCGTGAACCTCCCGTTAAATGCTCTCCCGCGGTGCTCTATGATAAGACCGTAAGGACTTCTGGGAGCACCAAAATACATAAAAAACAAAAAAAAAAAAAATAAATTATATTAAGTTAATAAAATGTCTAAGTTTACCAAATTTCTATAAGTATAATTGATTTAATTGCTATAATATTCATTAAATTGACATTTGTTCATTAAATTTCTCAAATCGAATTGAAAAACTTAATAAACTTAATATATATTATGACAACCAATTTGGTTAAACTACTTTCCGGAAACTAAAACAGAATTTTTTCTTTCTTTTAAAAAGTAAACAAGATTCATGTAGAAATCCAAGAAAATAGTTTCTATAGTTCAAAAATATTATCAGAAGAATTAGAAATATTTACAGAAAAAATCATGTTTTTCCAGCTGTATTGATTCAAAAAAACGAACTAAAAAATTATTTTCTAATGAAGCCAAAGATGAGTCAATACATAAAATAGATAAAATAAATTTTGACTCGCTTTTTTTTTAACGTAGTGATGGATCAAAAAGATACGTCTAAACGTTTGTTTTGAACAGCTGATAAGTTATAAAACATTATTTGATTAAATTTGTTAAATATTTCGGACACAAATATTGCTCTAATGAAAATTTGATAATACACAGCATTAAGTTTGATACTTACTATTTCCGTATCCAACGGTTTGTATTAACTTAAAATTCGATCCAATTTTGACATTGAAGAAAGTAATTTATTACTTGAACTGAAGCTATTAACACTGCTATTTGGTGAAACATTACGCATGCGTTCTAAGATAACAGTACTCCTCTTGAAGTTATAAGGTTCATATACAACAGCAGGTTGTAAGACGTGTTTCCAAATGTTACAATTGCTCTGTGAAATATATTAACAATACATTGATTCAGCTGAAAACAGCTTTTTTGATTTAAAAATAATTAAAACATACCTACGTTCAAAAACGACATAAAATGAACTTGTTCAATTAGCAAAAAATTCCATCAAAAATCAAACTGCTTCTGTACCCTTCTATTCAGCATTTATCAACAATTTTTTAAGGCTCTTAAGGTAAATTCTGGTTTCATTTTTACTTTTATCAGTGCTCGAAGTGAGGTGGGATGTGGCGGGATGCCATCTCGTCGTCTTTTTATAATCGACGAAACGGGTTTCCAAGTGGAGGGGGGTCACAATCTTCAATTTCTAAAAAATAAAACTCTCTATATCTTGAAGCAAAATAGTGTTAATAGTTAGTAGCTAAATTAAATACTTTGTACTTTTTAACGTATTACTTTTAACATTCTCAGAAAATGAAATAAACAATAAAACTCGACGTAAATTGGATATAATATTAGTTCAAAAAAAATTGTATACGTAATATCAATACTTATATGAAAAACTCTAGAAAAACGAAAATAATTTTTTCGTCCAACTCGTCCATGTAACTTCATCAAGTTTTTGAAGCCTTTTTTTTATAATGAAATAACTTTTTGCATGAGAAAAATCAAAATGTTTTAAAACTGTTTTGTTCCAAAGAGAAGTTCCACAAGATGAAATGCTTGATTTTCCAAAATAAACTTTTAAAAATGGTTGCTAAACTAAACTAAGGTTTCATAATAGTTGAAGCGTGGTAACATAAGGGTTAAAGCGTACATTTTTAAATCTTTTAATGTGTATACATTAAAAGGTTTGAAATTCTTTTATGTCGATTTAAACATTTTAATTAACATAAACGAATTCAAGTGTACATTTAAAACCTTGTAATGTATATACATTAAAAGGCTTGAAATGTACGCTTCAACCCTTTACATGTAGTGCAAACGCTTAATAAACGTTATAATGTACGACCTTATAATGAACGATTCAATTATTTTAATATATACGTTTATTAAACATTTATAATATTGACTTATGTTAGTCAATATTGTAAACGTATAATTAACGTTTAACAAACATATACATAAAAAGAAATGAAATGTAGATCTCAAACCAACTGTCTATTTTTGGTCAATTATTTGTCGCAAAATGTTTTTTCAATTTTTCGACCAGTTTTGACTAAATATTAACCACTTCTAAACGGCTCTGTATTTACTGATTCGTACTGAATTTCATAAACTTGACATAATACTTTACATTGCCATTATAAATTTATAAGTTAACGAGTTTTCTAAATAAAACTTTAATATTTTTTATCTTGATAACAATGAATGTTCCAGCTAATGTTGTTTAAATTAAATTAGGGAAGTGTATCTGTTATCACTCAAAAGGCACGACGCTTTATGACGTAAATTGTCTATGGTTTTTCGAGCATTTGTTTAATTAAAAAATAAAAATTTGACACCCAAAAGTTACATTTTTGCGCCTAAAATTAAATTGTATTTAAATTTTTTTCAACAAAAAACATAGTGATAATGTTCTTTAAAAAGATAAGGGGTCGTTCATAAATTAGGTCACGCTCTAAGTGGAGGGGTTAGTGGTTTTTTGACGACTCATACAAAACTTGCTACTAAAGTGTTACGATTTTATAACGAGAGAAGAAGGAGGGAAGTTAAAAAAAGCCAAAAATTGCGTGACGTAATTTATGGACAACCCCTAAATTATAGCCTGTTGAATAGGCTGCAAAAATTTAGAAGCCTTTTTAAGTAATTAAAAAGTTATTATGACTTTTCTGGTTTGAAAAAGCTGCTGCAGCCTAAATAAGTCGTTTATATTAATTAGGAAATATTAGAAATATTTTGCCTAAACTGCAAAAGTTGCATTTTTAAATGCCGACATCAAGCTTTCTTGGCATGATTGACAGGAGCGCTTTAACCCATTTTAATTTATTCAATGTGTTACATTTAGACCCCCGACGAAAGGGTAGAATGATTTAAAAAGCAAAATCTTATTTAAACCAAATTTGCTTAAAATAAATCTGTTTCTCTTTTATTCATCACTATCTCAACAATGCTAACATGCTTGGTGCAGCATCAATAAAAAAAAAATGAAAAAACTATTTATCAAAAAAAAAAGAAAGCCATTATAATAATATTCAACGCAGTCCGGGTCTCTCATTAACAGCTACTATTTATTAATTTAAAAAATCTAAATGCTTACTAGATATAATCATCACCATTTAACTTTTGTGCACAAAATTAACAAGAATACGATTCAAAATACTTTCAAAACGCTATTTAAAAAAATACAGGACAAATATTTCACCAGATATGCAAATAATATTTATATTCAAATTAAAACTCATTTTGAAGCTATGTTTTCACAGCTAGACGCAACCAATTAAAAAGTATGATAACGAAAAACGACATCAAATTATAAGCCAATATAAATAACTTTAAATGAAAACAAAAAGAATAAAATTTAGTCCAAAATGGTAGAATGGTGTATTTGTTTTTAGTTGTATTCGGAGAGAGTTTTTTAGCTTTAAACCATTCATTGAGGTTGTCGAGAAGTTAACCATCCTTTGACTGTGGTTTAGCACTTTGGTCGGTGGAAGCGTAAACGTAAACGCACCAACATTTGATAATTTTGGCTTCACACACAGAGACACCATCATTTGGCTTTCTAAGCTCTTCTACACAATCTTTTGGACAACCTAGAAGTGCATTTGGATGTACCTAGTGCAGTCATATTCTTATTATTTTTGCTTATTTATTAATTAACTAACAATTAAGATTAGTGTAATTGTAAGATACATTTGAGTAACGAGATTCAGTGATCGTATAGATGCGAGTAAGATGCGAGACGTGTTCGTTTATCAAGATTATGATGATATTATTGTTTTCGCTTGAGTCATGCGATTCAGAAGAATTAGTATTTTAACTCAAGCCATAAAGACCATAGCTAAAGAACAGTTTAAAATTTGTATTTATTTAAGTTTTTTCTAAAATCTAAATTAAGTTCAAAGTTCTTCAACAGCGGTTTTCGGTGACAAGACCTGTATGGTCTTCTTTGAGTATCCGCGTTCTTTATCTTTATTCTTTATTTTTTTAACGTATATATAGTAATAAAGATTGTCGTAATGTTATAATGGATATAAATTACTTAAACGTTGTCATCAAAACGCTGTTATCAAAATACTAGATGATAGGCAAGTGTCGTTTACATAAATGATAAACAACAAAAGGCTGAAAACTGGAAACCCTGTATGTACCCTGGGAACTCCGCAAGTAATGTTTTCTAACCAGGTACAAGTTTTGTATTAAACACACCATGTTTTTAATTTTTTACATTAGATCGTAACCATTTAAATTTATTATTTATTGCTTATGACTTTTAAGTTTATAATGAAAACCATGATATGGTCCACGGTATCAAAAGCTTTTGAATGGTAAAAAAACAACCCAAAAAGTATATTGATTGCTTTCAAACAAATTATTATAACTACAATAAATTACTTCATATTCTGTCAAATGTCGTTTTCTAAATCCTTACTGATTATCGTTAAAACTTTACTGATTGCACTGGTCCAAAAAAGAAAAAAAAAAAAAAAAATTCCCTTTTTCATGGTTAACAAAAGTAAGCTTTTTTATATGTATATTCGATGCTAAATCTAAATCTGGTTACAGCACAGTTTTTTCTAGCACATATAGTTTTTAAATTATTAACATTTTTGTGTATTATTTAAATATATGTAATTATGTGAAAACGGAGTGTTTAATAAATCACGTTTTATGCAAACCATTTATTTGGGAAAAGTAAAATATACATTAGGGTAAGCCTTCCAATACTTCTAAATGTTATAATAACAGTTGATTTAAAAAGTTTTAAAATAAAAATTGTTTTTGGTTGGCTCCAAAATCTTTTGTTATTTATTAAATATATATATATATATATATATATATATATATATATATATATAAATTTTTTTATTTTTCCTTATTTTCCATATATATATATATATATATATATATATATATATATATATATATATATATATATATATATATATATATATATATATATATATATATATATATATTATTAATTTTTTTTATTTTTTCTTATTATGGTTACAACCATCTCTCAGATCATTAACTCTGAAACACGAACTTTAACGAACATTGTTGCTGCCTAGAGAAACAAATTGAGCACGGTAATACCAGAGAGGTAGTGGAAATTTGTCAGATCACACTAATATACATCATACAGTAAATTAATACAACGCAACGAGTAAATTACTACAACACGAGGAAAGCTATTAAAAATAACAAGCTATTAAAAACTTTCAGAGTACGACTTTTAAACTTTTGGTCTGGAATTTTTTGATACAACATCCAATAATGGTCGGCCATCATGCTTTCATTTCGAAATTGTTGGTAACAAACTTCAATAGCTCTAAAGTCTTAGTGAAAGTTTTCCCCTTGCTCGTCACTCGAGCAAGGGGAACGAGTTACTTGCTGCAACTTTGGAATCTTCAAGATGCAACAAGTGACGAGCAAAATCACCGTCTGAAAGCTGTACGTTTGCATATTGTACAAAAGTACTGCTTTCAGACGGTGTGCTGCTTTCAGACTTCTCTGCCAATGACATATTTTCAGACTGTGTACTGCTTTCAGAGTTTTCTGCAACGAATAGATGAAGAGACGCTAGTCAGATGCCGCATACGTCTGAGATAATTCAGTGAATAGTCCGTGTATATCATGGCATTAATAGAGAAAGCCATTTATTGTAAAATATGTTGATAATTTAATACTTAGCTTTCGATCGTAACTGATACGAAATGTTTTGTCAAAAAAGTAAACATTATCTTGTAGTCTGGAGGCAAAAAATTCTGCTTTATCTTTATAAAAAGATCAAATTTTTGCCTTTGAAAATATATTGACTGGGTAAAATCGCCGTTTGGTTTAGACATTTAAAAAGAGGAAACTCTAGTAATATAATGAGGAGGGATGGGAGGGGGTGCGAATCCTTAAAAGTGCTGATTGTTTTCTAAAAAAATAAAAAAAATAAAATATAAGGTTTCAAATTTATAAAAATATATAAATGTATAAAAATCACCTTTTACGCATTTTTTTGACGCACTGTCCTCAAACACAGCCTATACTTTAAGGTACCAAACAAATAGCTTCAACAGTATGTTAATTTTGAAAGTTTGTTTTTCTGTTTCTGTTTCTGTGAAAATCTAAACACGATTAGCTTGGCGTGGATATGGGCCAAAAAGGTATCAAAGTAGGACATACTCCTTTTATAGTTTACAGTTTTCTTAAGTTTCTTAGTTTAATATATTTATCAAAAAAAGATCACCCTGCTTATATTCTAGATAAAGATGAGGGAATGATACAATTTGTTAACGTGATATATGTAGGATATGTAAAAAACTGTGACATTATTAAAAATTTGACATTCTCTTGGCTGGAGTGTAGTCAAAACAAGTCGAAAATAGCAAAAATTGTGCGGCATCATTAGAAAACTGCGCTATTTTAAAATAACTAATAAACGTAACCAAACATGTGATTTAAACACAAACGCTGCATTTATAAATTAGTTTAAACGTTAACTATGAGGTGTCAAACAAACGTTCCTGCCTGTTTATTTGACACTAAAAACCCACAACATTTTTACTTAGCCCTTTACAACTTATTACTTTTTTACTGCTAAATTAAAACTTCTTTTATTAAGTATAAGTTTCTTCAGTCTAAAAAACTTTAAAGTTAGCAAATAAAAAATTGTATCTAGGTCTAAAGACAAGTATCTCCTTCTCGATGTGCTCCCAACTGTATCTCTTTAAATCTCTTTAGTGTTAATTTGATCTCTTTAAATCTCTTTAGTGTTAATTAGTACGTTCGCGCTTTCAATGGTTTTATGTCACGTACTGTTTTCCATTGGCGAATTAATTTTTAGCGTCTTAGAGGTGGGAGGATGGGCAGGGGATGAATAGGAAGGAGGTGACAGTGGTTAGGGATGACTCATAAACCTCTACAAACATTTTTTTTCGAGAATCGCACTTGTGATAAACTTATTTTACCGATGCTTTTATGTGCCTTTTATCATAACTATTAAGTACATCTAAGACACAAAACAATCTAAAATTTGAGTTTACTAAGTTTACTTTAGTTAACAATTATACTTAAAAAATAGTAACAATGTATCGTTTAATATTATCGCAATGGTTCACTTATTTAAAAGTATAATTACACTAGACATTTTATAAAAAGCGAGCATTAAGAAAGATATTTACTTTTCAACTAGTTTATACAAATTTTTTTCTGCAAGATTTTATTTCCAGCGGGTACAGAACGTTCATTGGTCGTATTAAGGACATCGTACGGACTTGTGACATTTATAAGACTTTGTATAAACGTCTGATTTGTTGCAAATTTAAATTCTGTGTTCTCAGCAAGCTCACATTCAAATAAAATAAATGCCAATCCTGAAAGATATTCTTATAACATTGTTGATCACAGATAATTTTTGCTAAACCTTAGTCTACTAAAACTTCACTTATCATATTACCTTGTTTAAAAGATATTAGAAACGATTTGATTTAAACTAAGGAAATTGCATTTTTAAATGCAATTTTTGTATCAAGGTTTTCTTGGTTAAAAATTTTTTGTATCAAGGGTTTCTTGTTTATTAACACAATAAAAATAATCTCATGCAAACAAAAATATCTTTTGTTATAAGTGTATTATATAAATCAATTCTTTATTTTAAATCACGAAAAATGTTTTAGTTCAACCACATTCATTGTCATCTCTCCCACGCTAATGTTATATGGACACACTCACACAAAACTAAGTGAATAATATTACAAAACTTACAAAACCACGCATGTAAAGCAATCTCTTTAGTTACTTAAAGAAAAAATATATATTTAAAAAAATATATATTTTTTTTTTTAAATATATATTTTTTCATCAGTTTATCTTGGTTAATGGGTTTGAATTCACAAAGAAAGTTCTCAAATATGTGTCCCACAGGGTTCTGTTCTTGGGCTTTTATTGTTTTTAGTATATATTAACAATTTGTTTCACTTTATTAATAATTCTATTATTCATAAAATTTGATTTTATACTTGTTTCAAGCATAGGCTTGTAACGTTAATGTTACAAAAATATATAAGTAACATGCATCATATATTGCGCCATGAAAAAGTTAATAAAAGAAGCGTTAATCTTGGTTAATGGGTTTGAATTCAGCAAAATATATATTTAAAAAAAAATACAAAAAATTACTTCATTTATAAAAATGCAACAAAAATTAACGGAAACTTTTATTCAAATTTTTAAAATTTGATATATAATTAATTAAAGTTGTGTACAACAATTTTGTCAAATTTTGATAAGCTATTTTTGAAGCGAAATACCTTTAGGGGTATTCAAATTTCACAAATTCTATTGTAGAATATATAGATTCTATAATATAAAATAAATATTATGCATGTTCTATAAAAAAATAGAAATAAGGGGTCGTCCATAAATTACGTCACGCTATAAAGGGGGAGGGGGTTGGTGGTTTTGTGACGACTCATTCAAAACTCGCTTCTTATGTGTTACAATTTTGTGAAGAGGGGGGGGGGGTTGAAAACGGTCAAAAATTGCGTGACGGAATTTATGCACAACCCCTAAGTCGCATGCAAAGTTTGGGTACGTGAATGGTCGAGTCTCGAAATATTTGACGCGCGCGACAAATTAAGATAATTTGCGTCTCAATCAATTAGCTTAGTTATTCAAATAATTTTAATTCTTGTTTGTCGTGAGTGATTATGAAGAATATTTGGTAACTGTAGGTATAAAAAAGCATAAACTGAATTGTACTTTTTTTTATACTTAGAAAACGTGTATAACTTTATAGAATTTATTTTATTTTTCTGTTTATACTTGATTGTTATTTTTATAATTATATGTTTTTGTTTTATTTTTGTTTTTCTATTTTTACTGAAAATAAAGTTCCAATCATGATTATATATTCAGATAAACATGTTATATATATATATATATATATATATATATATATATATATATATATATATATAATATATATATATATATATATATATATATATATATATATATATATATATATCAGGCGCGGATCCAGCATTTTTTGATGTTTGAGATAACTAACTTCCAGACATGGTACAAACCCCAAAAATTTATATGTTTATACTTATGTCAAATAAAGATCATTTGCAAAAAATTGCGATGATTGGAGTCTGGGAACAAAAAAGCCCCAAAATTTTGGCCACACAAACCCCAAACAAGAGAGCAACAAGTTGATAAAATATTTTTTGTACAATTCTCAAGTAAATTTATATTCATCGATAAATTCTAAATTTCATACAATAATCTCTTAGTGTTCAAAAATTATAATTGCACAAAGCTTTAACCCCCCTCAATTTGAGGGGGTTACAAATTTTGTAAGGTCATGTTTTTTGAACACTAAGAGATTATTGTATGAAATTTAGAATTTATCGATTAATATAAATTTACTTAAGAATTGTACAAAAAATGTTTTATCAACTTGTTGCTCTCTTGTTTGGGGTTTGTGTGGCCAAAGTTTTGGGGCTTTTTTGTTCCCAGACTCCAATCGTCGCAATTTTTTGCAAATCATCTTTATTTGACATAAGTATAAACATATAAATTTTTGGAGTTTGTTCCATGTCTGGAAGTTAGTTATCTCAAACATGCTGGATCCGCGCCTGTATATATATATATATATATATATATATATATATATATATATATATATATATATATATATATATATATATATATATATATATATATATATATATATATATATATATATATATATATATATATATATATATATATATATATATATATATATATATATATATATATATATATATATATATATATATATACAGTAAAAAAAGGTTTTACAATTTAGTTATCTGCAAAGTAATTACTTAAAAAAAGTTAGTCATAACAGTTTTTTGCTGTACAAAAATAATGTGCTGAGTCTAACAACCATAGATTTAAAACTTTAATAGCCTATGCAAATTAAAGTTTGTATTATAATTAAATTTTTATTTCTTTTTGTTTGTTTTCAAAATAATCAAACTTGTTCATAAAGATGTTTACATTATCTGAATTGATTATCTCTTCTGTTAAGTTGTTCCATTTTTCAACTATTCTGTAAAAAAGTTTTTATTTGGTAGCCAAAGTGCATACTTTGCCATTTTCCAAATTGAAGTTGATTAGCCATTTTTTGCATTTATTAATCCATTCAACCGGCTTACTTCCTAGTCTTGCTGTAACTTTCAACTTTATTGTACTTTATCAATGACTGAAATAATTTTTGCATCAACAGCGTATAGTTTGTCATGATTATTTGCCTCATGTTAAATCATTATAAATGAAAAAAAAAGTGGTCTGATTTTTGTGGTACACCAATTATTAATTTATTCCATTGAGAACTAGTTACACCTAGAACTTCTCATTGTGTTTGTTTGCTAAGAAAACTTTAAAATCAATCTAATAAATACTCTTGAATTCCATATGATTGTAGTTATAAAAAATAATCTCTTATGTGCAACTGAGTCAAAAGCTTTAACAAAGTCTAGAAAAGCTATATCTATCGCTAAATTAAGCATTTGCTAAGTTGCATCTCTTTATCATGCTTGCCACTTTCTTACTCTGGATTCTATTCTTTATCTTTATAAATCTCAAATCTGTCCTTGTATAGAACACTGTTGCCATATCTGAAACAGATCTTCGAAAGATATTCTTTTTCTTTTACAAAGGGTGCTAAAATGCATTGTAAACATAGTTAGACCTGCTCTTGCAGCCGACCTATGACCATTGTCACATCATCATAATGTTGATTCTCTTTCTCCTTTCTATAGATACTATAATGGGGTCTGCTCTAAAGAGCTAGCCTCTCTTGTGCCTTCTACATTAAAATTCATTTGTTACTCGCCATTCAATTCTCATACTTTTACTCTGACTGTTTTTAAGTGCTCTAAAAACTCTTATGTTTTGATCCAATTAACAAAAGTGATAAGTCCTTTAGGGGTTCTTTACTCTCTATAGGAGACCTCCAGTTGCTCAAAGTTTTTACCATCTTGTAGTCTTGTCATGTCAGCATTGTTGCCAACTCATAAACTGAGGAATCTTTCATTCAAACACTTCTACTTTTCAAAATGAGAAAGAAAAAAACATAGCACAGCTCTAATTCAGGTTCCTCGTGCAGCAGAGTTTGTTGCATCTGTTGTTAAAAAACAAAAAGTTGAAACTGTAAATGATAAATCAACTGTTAAATTAGCAGCTAGAAGGAAAGATTGAACTATTACAAAGAATACTAAACTTCAATGTTGCTCAAAAGCTTTGATAAAGGTTGGTATGTTGATCTTTTTTGTAAGTTCTCTTCTTACCGTGTATTAGGGAACATCTTTAAGGTTATTGAGTCTTTCCTTACCAAATGTAGTTTTAATGTACCAAAAGTTGTCCCCATGAACAGCTCTCTTCTTAATTTCCTGTTACTTCAGGGTTCTTTAAGGTTCTATCCTTGGCTCTATACTTTTTTAAATTTACATTAATGATCTCCCATAAATAATACTACTATTTGTTCTTGTCTTGATAAGAAGCCAACATTTTTTGATTGCTTGGAGGGAACATTTGAGCTTGAAAATTGCTCTTACTTGTGCTACAGCATGGGGCTCTCAGTGGCTGTTGAACTTTTCAGTTAATTGCTGTAGCAAGATCTTCCTATATTTATGAGCGGGTAATGTTCTTGATGAGTCATTTACCCTTTGTCTTCTAAGATTAACTCTTACTACTGATCTTTCTTGGAAACCTTTTATCATATCCTTTGCAAAATTAGCATCAGCTAAAGTTGCATCTCCTTATTGCTCTCTCCACTTTCTTACTCTGGATTCTATTCTTTATCTTTTTAAATCTCTTATCTGTCCTTCTATAGAATATTATTGCCATATCTGGAGTATATCTTCGAATAATGCCCTTTCTCTTTTAGACAAGGTGTGAAAATGCATTGTAAATATAGTTAGACCTGCTCTTGCAGCCAACCTTCAACCATTGTCACATCGTCATAATGGTGCTTCTTTCCCTTTTCTTATAAAGACTATAATGGGAGCTGCTCTAAAAAGCAAGCATCTCTTGTGCCATCTACTAAAATTAATTCTTGTGCTGCTCAATTAAGTCTCATTCTTTTACTGTGACTGTTCGTAAATGTTCCAAAAATTCTTTTTTGTCTAGTTTTTTTCCTTGAACATTAGTTTTTTGGATTAAGTACCTGTAATTCTCAGTTTAAATAAATTTAGGCAATTTTTCATAAACCTTGTGGCCTTGATATTAAAAAAAAAATTATAGCATATCATTCTATATACATTGATCTTTCAGAAAATATAAGAATTTTGATCTGTAAGAATATGGATTTCCATATATGGATAACGGGATAGGGTCGATGACTAGAATGTCCATGGGGCTGGGACACTGGGGGTCATACTCCACCTAATTTCTCATATTTATATATTTTCTTTAAAATATTATTTGGATTATACTTGTTCCATTTGGTTTTTGATCATTCTGTATTCAATTATTTTTTTTTAAAGATAATTGAATATAGAATTTAAGAGAGTACAGTTGATTCCCTTAAACTAAAACCTCCAAGAGACCAAGGAAAATGTTTGATATAAGCGAAGTAAAACAATTTTTTTTTGCTTTTTAGGGACCAATAGAAAACATTTCAATAACAAAAGTCAAAGTTAACCAGTGATTGAGTATTAACTGTGCATGTTACTATCAACATTTTAGAATCAGTAAATAATAATTGAAATAATGATTTTAAAAGATGATAAATTTCTTTATTATTGATGTAATTTTATGACAGGATGTTTTTTTAATGTTGGATTTTATTAAATTAAACAACTTGCTGTTAACATTTTAGCATTAAAAAACATCAACTTTTTTCAATTCAAAAAGTTTTAAATTATACAATATAAAATTCTGTTTAAATCATTATTTTAGATGGATGACTGTTTTTAACCCATATACTTGCTAATCAAAATTTTTATAAACATATTAACTTTCTAAAGGCATTTTAGGAAAGACCATTGAATATAGAATGGGTTGTGTATATATATATATATCTATATATATATATATGTATATATATATATATATATATATCTATATATATATATATATATATATATATATATCTATATATATATATATTTATATATATATATCTATATATATATATATATATAATATCTATATATATATATATATATATATATCTATATATATATATATATATATATACTATATATATATATATATATATATATATATATATATATATATATATATATATATATATATATATATATATATATATATATATATATATATATATATATATATATATATATATATATATATATATATATATATATATATATATATATATATATATATATATATACATATACATATATATATATATATATATATATACATATATATATATATATATATATATATATATATATATATATATATATATATATATATATATATATATATATATATATATATATATATATATATATATATATATATATATATATATATATATATATATATATATATATATATATATATATATATATATATATATATATATGGTGCGTGATAATAAAAAGAATATTCGCGAACACTAAAAACCCTCCAAATTAACGAACAAACTAATCTAATTGGTTCAAAAATATGCTGACTAAGCGAAATAAAGTTTGAA